AACTTGCCCAAGATGGATTTTTGCCATAAATGAAAGGGTAGCCCCAGCAGTTTCAGTTTGAAGCTCCCATCGACAGAGGTCACCTCATTAGCCAGAGGACACCATCTTTCGATTCTCACAATTCCTTCCTTTGTTACCAAAATGGTAAATTCAACTGTTTCCTCTCCCACATCTAGAACTGCTTTCTTTTCATTGAAAGGTATTAGAATAACAGTTCGGTGAAGCCTGAGTTTCTTTGTCACCTCCTCTAATAACCCTTTAATCTTTGACCTCTTTCGTTGTAGAGAGGATTACTTTCTTCTCCCATGCTCCTTTCTCCCCTACCATTGAAACTTTTGGTTCTGGCATTGTGAATCCCACCATTGGGTTATCTTGACTTTCAGCCGGCTCTTCTAAACCCAACTTTTCCAGCTTCTTCCTTCTTTCGATCATTTCCTCCTTCTTGTTGCGTCCACCCTCTACCTTCTCTGCCTATGTCTTCACCGTCATCAACTCCTTATTGGCTAGTCTCATGTGTAGTATGTTAGCCATCTCAGTCCATCCCTGTGTCTTGTCGCCTTCAGGAATAATGATGGTTTGCTTCTTCTTCTTCTCGAACTTTTCCTCCAACATTAGAAACCAGCCTTTGGCATTTTTCCTTCTCTCTGCAACATACTCTCTCCGCGGCTATTTGAAAGAAGCAATCCAGGATTCACACCAGCTTACATGGACTACTCCATCCAGAAAACTTTGAAACCAAGGCACAGCTCCGCCTACTAGCAGAATCGTTCCTCTCCTGCCTTCTCTTATCTTTATCGTGAAATCTTTTTGGTAGAAGATCTCCTCCAATAGTATCTCTTTCCTTTTCACTCTCAGAGCTTTTCGCCACTTACCCACCGGTGAGAAGCCTTCGGACTCCATCTCGGTATTGCCATCATTTTAGACTTCCATTGTAGGAGATTTAACAGAAGGGGTGTGTTTATATATTTATTTGAAAGGTAGGGAGGTTTTTGCAGGGACTAAAACACAGGGGAGGTTAAAGTAATTCGTAGATTACCCAGAGAACCAAATATTTCTCTCTTGCTCTTTCTCCCTCTCCCTTTGGCAATGTGCATGGTGCTGGTAGCAGATCCATACAAATCACATGATAACCAAAGGCTATCTATCTGTCTCTGCTTAACATAAAACTAGAGAAGGTTTGAAATCCTATCTCTGTCATTTTTATCAGGTATGCTTCTCTCAAGTTCTCCCTCCAACTTCCCTTGTTTTGGAAAACGCAATTTTGCCCATAACTCTTCAAATAGCCTTATTTTTCTTCTCTCTTGCATTTTGAAGCCCTATTTCAGTCAATGGCTGCCACTCCTCTCCCACACCTGCACATTTTCCAGTGAAACTTCCCTCCCGGCAGCTCTTCTCAGAGGAACTGAAATCAAGTGTGCATTCTCCCTTTTTTTCTTTGTCTTTGCTGTAATGCTATAATATAGCAAAAAGTACAAGAATAGTTTGTCCTGTGAACATCAGAACTGCATTAATTGAGCAAATATATATAGTTCATAATGATTTGAACTTCCAACCAACTGACAGCAATGAGAGGGTGGGAGCCCACAGAGTAGCTATTAGAAACAGAGATGTGCCTAGCTAGTGTTATTGCACTGTCATGACAAAAGGTAGCTACAGACTTGGATGGAAAATCAGTCAATGATTGAAAGAGCTATATACATTCTTACGGGTAATTTGGGTGAAGAATTTCCTAAGATCATACTATAGAAGCTGAGGAAAGAACGAAGGTGAGAGTGGATTCATCTGATTGTTTGGCAGCTTTTTGTTGTCCATCCAAGGCCAGGGGTGGCAACTTTTGACCCATCCGACTCAGCCACTTGCAACCCAACCATTTAACAGGCAGGTAGGTCAAGTAATCCATTTAGGTCATAGAGAAGGGCTAAGGTTGGGTTGGTTGAGGGTGATAATTGGGTCGTCACTTAGAGTAGGGTTTAATGCTTGAACACAATCAACTCTTCAGCTCTACCCACCTCCATTTCCTCTGTTTGCAGAGAAACAGCAGCTTCTAGTGTGGATAGCGGCGTTTTTTGGCTGCAGTTCTATCTTCTCCACCACCCACAATCTCTCTCCTCTCCAAATCAGTGTTCGTTTCAAGCCATCATCTCTGATTTCCTCTTCCACTTCCTCAGAATCCAAGCAAAATGAGTAAAGGAACAGGTTTCATCCATCCACAGGCACAAAGAAAACTCAGAAGGGGTATTCGATCTTGTCTTCTCAAAAAACCAGCTTTGACCTGTTTAACAGGGGTATTTCTGGTTTATCAACAGGACTGGTTTTATTTCCATTTCACTGTTGGTTTTTGGAGATTCTGAACATTTTTTGTTGTTGATTTGATATATTTCAGTCCGGTGATCTATGTTTCCCCATTATTTTTGGGGTTTCCTTAAATGTTAATGAACCATTCACATTTTGTTGCTTTTAATTGGTACTTGCAGTATAATGTCCAGGGTTAGTGATGATTTTTAGCAAATTCATGTTTATTAGGAAGTGAAACTATCTCAATCTCAGAAATTTTTCCCACCTCAAAAGTCAGAAACTGTTAGTAGATTAATGAGGTTGTTTATTGTTCCATTGAAATGGATGAACTGGTAACCATTTTTGCTAGGGTCAACTTATATCCAAATCCTAAATTTGGTTTGCATTGTTTCCTTGGTAAGTGACAAAGTAGCTTAGCTCTTTTTCTAGCTGATTGTCATCCAAAGTACTTTAGAATCCTGTAGTCTAGCATAGCAAACTCCCACCCCTTTTTCTTTAAATGAAGCCCTCAATTGGATATGGACACCAGAGACTAAGAAAAGAATGATATGGTTTCATATATAGAGGAACATAGTGGCTTGTCCTCATAACATAATACACACAAGTAAAAGGTTCCAGTCAGATCTCTCACCAAGATGAGATCAACTAGTATCTGATGTGTCTTTTTTTTCTGAGAAGAGGTAAAGTATCATTTCATTCATTAAAAGATAAGAGAAGAGGTAAAGTAAAATTAAACCACTATTCCTTTGATGTTTACACAAAGATTTTCAACCTAAAAAAGAGAACTGGCTTATCAAAAATAAAACCTCAAAAAGAGAACTAAGGCTGTGTTTGGGGTTGTGATTAGGTAACTTATTGGACTTCCTAAAAGGTCCGATTTAAAAAGTTCTGTTTAAAAGTCAATTTTTGGTGTTTGGTGAGCATCATTTATCAATGCTCCTTATTTTTAAAAAAGAGACTAATGGATTTGGTAACATTAGTAAGAAAAGTCCTTACTTTCAATTAAATTCCAATATTGCCCTCGTGATTCTATGTAGCATATTTCATCACAAAACCATGAATTAATGCTTATAAACAATTATTACTACCAATACAGCATTTCTATTTGTATACGGGGATGCTGTGAGGGAGATTTCTTGAGGAAAATGGAGTTTATGTAGAAAGCAACCTGGAGAAGATTTCTGAAGGCTGAAGCTAAAAACTTTTTCTTTGAGAGGTTCAAAGTAAAAGGGAATGTAATGTTGAAGACCAGAGAAGTGAGGAAAGCCATGGTTATGCTGGTAGGTATTGAGGTGGTTGAGTGGTTCAAACTGTTCATGGAAGGAGCACTACAGTCAGGCAAACATACAGAATGGAAGAGCTCTAAAGAACAACAAGATCGAAGGTACCTAGTAGAAAGAAGATGGAATACAAAGGACAGATTCATTGCTCTGATTGAGTTTTTTGGAGAAGGAAAGAAACAACTCATCTATTTATTTGGGTGAATAATCCATATGATGCATACCTTCACACTAATGGCCAAGGTGACAATTTTTCTTTCTAATTTGGTCATATATGAGTTCGGTAACTTTTCTTGGTTTTCAAAAATCGAGAAAGGTTCTGAACCCTAAATCCTAAGATGTAGGGGCCAACTGACAGTTTCTTTCTTTGTGCTTGGGACTTCAATCCATCCACAAGTGTCAAGAGCTGAGAAACAATCCGCCTTTCCACTTCTCCATTCGTTTTCTCTCATTTAGAAGCTATGGAATCAATTTCATCAATAAAGATAATAGAGGGTGCATGCTTTTCAGCTTCTTCAAATGTCTTTCTGAGATTACTTTCACTCTCTCCAACTAATTTTGACATAATTTCTGGTCCATTAATATAGAAGAAAAAAGCACCAATCTTAGAGGAAGTTCCACTAGTTCTCGTATTTGAGCCATCTGCTTTCTAACTCCACTAACATCATCATAACCTACTTCATCTAACCCATCTTCATCCTCCCTCCTTACCAACTCTCCCTCACAAAAGATGTTAGTGTCTGGAGCAACCACACAATACTCTGTTGGGTCTGTCTCAATAACCTTATATCCAATACTCCTGATTCCACCTCTAACAAGAGATCCCCTTTCACAACTTGACGATATGCTTCCAAGAAATAAGCTACAAATGCATCCCCACAAATCAGAAGAGAAAATAAAGTTTATTGTTCAATTTGAAGAGCCAAGTAAACCAGAAAAATCCTTTTTTTTTTCTTTGTGACAAAGCAGAACAAGACTGGAGCATTATGTCTATGGTTGTTCTCAAGAGAGACGGGAAGACAGACTAAGCACTAAAATGGTTATGAAGAGAAAGGTTTCCTATCAACAACTTTTATTTATTTTTAGTTGTCAATATCTAATATAATAATCAATAAAAGTCACCACACCATGAAAACCGTTAATTCCTAATTACAGACATTCAGTGGGCAACTTGAAAATCGAAATATGTTACGAAAGCACATAGCAATATTAGTCATATGATTGCCTTATAAAAGTTACGAAAGCACAAAAGACCCTCCATCGGCGACATTGGAATGGAAGCACAGTTTCTTAGTTGAAAGCAAGGCAAAGAAACTGGGTTCATTAGTAACCCTCCATCGGTAAATTTTATTGATTTTCCATTCCAGAAAAGTAGCGAAGAGAGGCAGAGAAAGAAACTGACAAGGGAATAAATAAATATCTTACCAGGCAGAGGTGAAGAGAAACTCCGAGCAGAGAACCGAAATGTGCAGACCTTCCCTAAAACATGCGAGTAAGAAGTAAAAGACGCAGAGCTGAAGCTTCACTCGAACGAGCAGAGAACGATGCAGGGGCACTCGAGTTATTACAGAGAAGAGAAAGGATTGGAGACTCGAGAGAACGAGAGATGCAAGGAGATTTGAGCGGTTAGAGAGGAGAGAAGAGATCGGATACTCGAAAGGGAAGAAAACATTCGCACGCAGGAGGGAAAGAGGAAGGGTAGATTTTGTTGAATTTAATAAAGGGACAATTTTATCATACAAAAAGGATATACGATTTTTTTTTTTTTTTTGGTAAGAGAATTGGATCGCTTTTCACGTTTGAACTTCGAAGCATGGTTTTTAAAAACGAACCGGTAAGGGGTTCGGTTACCGGTTCGAACGGTCCGATCGATTGACCCGAATGACCAGTCTGTTTTGACAAAAAAAATTGGAAAACAGTTAAAACCGTTCAATCAGTTCAAATGGTTAACTGGTCGGTTCAACAGTTTGCTGACTAAAATCAATAGTTTGGGGGAAAATGGAACCAGTCAAGTGACCAGTTCTTAGTTTTTCCGGTCCGGTCCGGTTTTGAAAACCATGCTTCGAAGAACAAGTCCACTATCCTTACTCTTTACTCTACCGGGGCTACAAATGGTATCCGATTTTCAAGTTTGGGTTTGTTTGAGTCAAAACCGGTATCCTAATGTGATCCATTTATAATTGCATCAATTCCTATCAGTTATGTTTGTTTGCGATACAAATGCCAAACCAAGGTATTTATGCATCCCGATTCATATTTGCTAGCGTTTGTTTGACATGTAAAAAAATAATGATTAAGAAATAAAAAATGTAAGGCTGCAAATTGGGCTTAGTTAAGTTGGGTTGAGACCAATCCTAAGTTCTAACCCCCCAACCCTAACTAACTTCCTTCAACCCTAATCCAACCCAACCTTCTTTCTATCCCTTAAAATCTTATAGTACTTCTTAATCTCAAATCTTAACTTTCATTACATATATTAATCCTACTTTTTATTAGTATTTATTTATTCATGTTTTTGAAAAAAAAAAGGTATTTGAAATGAACAATTTTATTATGAGCTATGACTTATAATACTCTTAAACTAACACTACTATTTGTGAAATTTAACTCCGCCTTACTTTTAATGATTTTCTGAGTGGTAATCATTTTAAAATTTATAGATGGCAATGATTTGTTATCGTGGTCGCAGCAACGATGATCACACGATTGCCGCCGGTGCTAGAGCCGACCCTCTTTCCTTCTCGTCAATCGAGAACTGGCCTCTCTCTCTGCAACGGACATCCTCAAAGATGATGATGCCGATGGTAGTTCTCTGTAGATGAAGATGGAGGAAGCAGAAGGAGAGTAAGGAGAAAGAGAAGAAGAGGAGGAAAGAGAGAGGGAAGAGGAGAGAGATCGGAGAAGGAACATGGTCCGAGTGCGTGGAGGGGTCCGCCGCTGCTGCAAATTGCATAGCGGCTGTGATAAAATAGGGGCGAGAGGGAATGGGGAGAGAGAGAACGAAGGGAACGAAGAGAGAAAGAGAGGGAGGGAGCCATTCGCCGGTGGCTGTCGTCGCCTGCCGAGAGAACGAAGGGAGACTGCTCGGCGACGAGCCCTTCGTTCTCTCCCCCTCTCGGCACAGCCGTCGCAGGCGAGGACAACCACCGGCTAAGGGCTCCCTCCCTCTCTTTCTCTCTTCGTCTCCTTCGTTATCTCTCTCCCCCCATTCCCTTTCGCTCCTGTTTCATCACCGTCGCTGCAGCAGCGGCAGGCCCTCCACGGACGATGACAAGAGGCTTATTTTTGCTGCAGTGATTCCGTCGTTTGAACTTTTGAACTTCAGACTTCGAATGTGATTTACTGGTAAGGGTTCTTCTGTCAATTCAAACTAAAGGTCGTTATATAAGCAGAAGGAGCCCTTCTCGATGTTCTTGTTAAGCGTCGGTTACTCGGTTTCTAGCAGAGCTTCAAAACCAGAGCTACAATGGCACTTGGTTCTTTTACGGTTATACCCTTAACTAGCCATTCTATGGGAATGAACTCGGGTGCTTCTCCCGGACCCAACGTTGAAATCAAGGTCAACTTTATTGGATGAGCAGAGCCGGACCTTCTGAAACTCTAATATCAAGTTCAGACAAAATAAGCTGCCCACTCAACAGAACAGTAAGAACTTCTATCATATTGGTGTTTTTCTTCGTATTTAATGGCCTTTTCAAGTTTTCTTAAGCTAAGGTTTCTTGTTTCTTACTTTCTATTTTGCTTCAACTGGTTCGTCTATGTGTTCTTCTCGCCAAATATTTAAGAATAAGATAAGTGATAGTTTATGAATCACGAGAAATGATGCAATGTTTCCTTCTTTTCTGTCGCATTTTCACTATTCACACAAATAAGTCAAAAGTATTTCAGAAGTTATTTGGTGCAAAAACAATCGGAGCATCTGATTCTTCGACAGCCACCCTCCCTCCCTCCCTCTCTTTCTCTCTTCATTCCCCTTATTCTCTCTCTCCCATTCCTTCTCGTCCATGTTTCATTACCGACACTACAATAAGGATACAGTTTGTCAATTTCTAAGAATTGAAAGAGAGGGAAGGCATAGGATGAAATAGGGGATGAAATTTGAGGAATAGTGAAGGATAAATTCGACATTTCCTTTTCTTCCGTTAACACTTAATGGAAATGTCAATTGTTATAAAACTTAAGGGTACTTTAAGACAATATATAAACAATAAGGATAATGTTTGTCAATTTCGTGAACAATAGGGATTATTTAAGAGATTTGCCCTAAATCTTTTATGTGCAACAATCTATGGGTGGCAAACAATAGAGATGAGATAAAAAATAAAATATTCAAAAAACATAAAATATGTTATTAAGATTTTAGTATTTCTAATTAGGATTAAGTTGAGTGGTTATCTTAAAAGAAATAAGTGATAGTATCTGGTGGGGGCTATGCAACTATCATGCATCTAAACAAATCAATTTATGATATATCATATATATAACACGTATTTATATATGATATGTATTATAGAATTGGGTTCAAGTTGGGTTGGGTTGCCCGAGGGGTCAACCCTAACCCAACTCGAAGTAAAATCGGGTTTGTAAATTTCAACCCTAACCCTAACCCGACCTAAGTTGCAGGCTTACAAAAATGAATTTTCTGACATTTTTTTAGAGAACATTACTATACCTATTTTTTTGATACAAATTTGTGCTTTTGGTAATTTTGCTTTTTAACCAAAGTTTAAGGAATTGGAACATAGGTAGTTGGAGCATTAATGATGGGGCCCATGCTTTGCATCGATTTCAAACAAATAATATGAGTATAAAAATGTGAATCGTGTTTGTATCTATGAGCCGAAAAGAAGGTAATTATGTAGAGTATATATTTGCATTTGCATCGTAACTAAACATAGTCTATCCTAACAAGTTAGGATTAGTACATTATTATAGGGAGGGGTATCAATTGGACCAGATTTGGTCCAATCCGGTCTAGTATGAGTCACTTACAGATAGATCAGGTCAAATCCAATCCAATGATTATTTTGCAGTGGTCCAAATCAATGTATGGATCATATAATTTGTTCAAATTGATTTTAATTTAGATTGATTCCAATCCAAACCTAGTCCATTGATACTTATATTCTTATCTTTTACCAATGGACCAAATATTGGTTCAATATTAGTCTCATCCAATCCAATAAATACTTTGGATCATTAAGTCTAGACCGGTCCGCTTCAATATGTCTTATTGGTTTGTCCAACATGGCAACGTCTAAATTAGTTTTGATTTGGACGGGGTCCATTGGCATGTCTCCATTACAATTGAACAAAATAATTTACAAGCTGAGCCACTTAGGAATAAAGGTGCAACTTGGGCAAGCCTAGCATGAGCCCAAACTAACCCAGCCCAAAATTCTACACGAGTTTTTGGTCATCAGGTTGGGCTCGGGCCCAAGAAGTCAGGCTTTTTTATTCTCCAGGCTGGGCTTGGGACTATCTCTTAGGTAGCCCGAACCCAAGCTAACTATACACATACATACATACATACATACATACATACATACATACATACATACATACATACATACATACATAAATGCACATATACATATATAAATTTAGAGTGGGTTCATTGACCAAGCCCGAGCGTAACCCAAGTGCATCAAATTACAGTGCGGGTTGGGCTCAAATTGGAAAGACCAGGCTCAGTCCGAGGTTAGGCCTTAATCCCAAATTTTAGGGTCGGACCCTGGGTTGACCATAAACTTGGCATAACCTACCTGACTTGCACCCCTACTTAGGAATGGCAATGGGGTGAGCATGGTTGGGTCTTGCATACCTTGTCCCCAACCTTGAATTCAAATGCCCTGCCCTGAACCCCCATCAAGGGCTAGAAATCTACACCCCATCCCCATCCCTATGTGGAATGGAGATCCCCAAATTTACCCTGCCCTATCCCGACCATTCCTACTTGCATACTTGCCATTTTTTATATATTTTTAAAATATACCAAGAACCGTATTATATTATGCAATATAAATAGAATATATATTATCATATATTAATAATTATATATATAAATTATGTAATATGATATAGTTAGGGCAGAGTGGACAAATATCATCCCTACCCCATAAATGATCCCCAAAGTTTTTTGTTTCCCATAAACCCATCCCAAAACCCAGTCAATAGTCAAAAGACCTATCCCAACCAAGTCGGGGTGAGGCAAACCCCCACGAAAATGGTCAAATTGCCATCTTTGAAGTCACTAGACTTTGGGATATGCTATCCACAAGAATGCTACACACACCTACCAAGGCATTGCAGTTGTACAACATAAACATCTTTTATATTTGTACTAGCAGAGGAGGCCCTGCATTGTAGGGGCTTGCTCATAAACTATCAGGCTCGAGCTCGATTCAAATTAGAGACTTGAGCTCGAGCTCAAGCTCGGCTCAAGTCAAAATCTCGGAAGCTCAAGCTCGGCTACCTTTATTGCAGGTCTCTTAAACAGCTAAGGTTCCAAGCTGAGGTCTCCCTCAGCTACTGAAGTGCCGAGCTGGGGTTTCCCTAGTAGGCGAGGTGTTGAGATAAGGTCTCTCTTAGTTGACATGGTGTCGAGTTGAGGTTTCCCTCAATTGTCGAGGTGCTGAGCCGAGATCTCCCTTAGTGATTGAGGTGTCGAGCTGAGGTTTCCCTCAGTGGTCGAGGTGTCGTCTAGCTCGAGCTCAATTTG